GAGACAAACATTTTTGTTTTCCTGTTAGGGATGTGATGCAAAATCATCTGCTTCAGATTTTGACACTTGTTGCCATGGAAAAACCACCTTCAACACATGCTGAAGATATACGCAATGAAAAGGTAAGTCTTCGTACTATGTTTTTTTTTAGTCATTAAGTAATGACATTTTTTTTTTTTAGAAGATTCCAAAAAAAAATAAAAATTGTCCTGATTTCATTTTAATTTTTATTTTTTCGCAGGTGAAGGTTTTAAAAAGTATACCACCGCCAGATATAAAAAATGTAGTATTAGGACAATATGTTGGTGATCCTAATGGAGAGGGTGAAGCTAAGCTCGGCTATTTAGATGATCCTACAGTCCCTAAAGGTGATTACACTTTATCGATAAGTATTTCAACAATTTATATTATGAATTGTTTAGACTAGGTTCACATATATGCCCAACCTAAAATTTGTCTCATTCTGGGAAAGTGTGGGTGTTCAAAAGAAAGGGTTATGACCAGCCAAATAGTGATTACGATCTAGATACATCATGTAATCATGTGGCTTTGGCATATTTTCAGAGTGTTTGATTTCCATATTCTTGACAAAATTTTAAACATTATCAGAAATTACAAAAGCTAATAACTTTATCTTAGACTAAGACTGCTTTATTGATCCTTATGGAAATTTGTTGTGATTACAAGGACTCTTTTTTTCTCTTTTTAGTTTGCTTTGTTACTTGTTCACATTATCATCTGTCTTGATTGTTTAACTCTTTCTCTCCGTAATTATTTACCACATTCTGATGAAATCAAGGTTTGTATCGTCGGTTAGGAGAGAAAGAGTTAAAACAATTGCTGTGAAATTGCTCATTAGCAGATTAGCATTTTGAAGCTCACATGTGCTAAATGAATAGTTTCCTGCATTAAGAATTTAATTTTAACTTTTTAACTTACTTTTCATTTTCTGCAGGTTCAATAACACCTACATTTGCCACTGTTGTACTTTTTGTTAAAAATGAAAGATGGGATGGTGTTCCTTTTATTCTTAGGTGTGGGAAAGGTAACCAACATGTTTTTATTTAAGTTAAAGCCAAAAATTTTGTTCAAACTTGACAAAATTATAAAAATGTAAAGAATAGCTGTATGTAAAAAAAAGTCTCATTATTCATGGAATGACAGGGTCTGTTTATTGTCAAGTTTATAAAGAACTTTATTTTTTTAATATTGATAGCTATTTTTTTTTTTTTTTTTTTCTGAATTTTCTCAATGTAATTTTGATAACAAACTTGCTTTGAATTTCAAACAAAACTGTAGCCTTGAATGAGCGTAAAGCTGAGGTCAGAGTTCAGTTCAGGGATGTTGCTGGAGATATTTTCCCATCAGGGGAGGTCAAACGCAACGAGCTTGTGATTCGTGTACAGCCAAGTGAGGCGATCTACATGAAGATGATGGCCAAAACACCTGGCATGAGCATAAACTGTGAGGAGAGTGAGCTAGATCTGACTTATGGCAGCCGCTATAGGGTAAGTTACTGTCACTGTTTATAACTAGTCTTTCATGGGAGGTTCACTATTTTGAAGAAGCAATCTTCTGTAACTAGAAAATCTTTTCTTGAGGCCATATTTACAACCATAAAAAAAAAACCAAACCCCTTTCGAATATCTGGTTGAACGTTACGATAGATATGTATGTTGAACATGTAGAAAACATAAATAGCAATTTTATCTTATAAATTACTCATGTTCTTTCAAAAAAGAAGAAATTGTAATTGATATACCTTTATCTAAAATTGACCCTTCCATCTGACAAGCTGTTGGTTGTGTCAGATGTTTGGGTCAGCACCAGTTTTACCATGTGACATACTGTACTGCTCCTTAATTTTTAGACTCCTAAGACACTATAATATTATACTGCTCCTTAATCTTTAGACTCCTAAGACACTATAATATTATCATTACTAGATCTTATATCTTTATTTATTTGGAAGGATAGTAAATATATTTTTTTCACCTGCAACTTCTCAGGCATTTGTGTGATTTGTTTATTTTTTTCCTGACTTATCTACAAATATATGTAATAAAGTTGTAGCAGAGAGACATCCTGCTATAGTTTCCCTTTTCAGACCTTATGATCAATAGAGCAGATGATGTAAAGGTTTGTTTATGTGGCCCATGGTTAATGAAGGTGTCATGTGGTCAGCACAACAACCAACTGCCTTTACTTTTCCCAAACTAATGTCAGGTAAGGCGCCCAAAGATCCTGACATTGAAAATTCCAGGATTTGATCCCAGGACCCCCGGTTCGGAAATTGTAAAAGAGAGAAGCCCTGTTATGGTTAAAATAATTTCATAGTCTCTTAGACTGTATCTTCAAATATTGCTCATGTTGGTTTTGAGTAATTATTTTAAACTTTAAGATGTTCTAGAAATTTTGTGTTTGAATTGAGTGATTTAACTGTTAGACATTTTTGACAATGATGATCACTTTCCTTATTTAGAGTCTGTGAGTCTGGGACTACAATTCTTTTCAGATGCATCTAGCTTAGTAGTTCCATTGGTGTGCATAAGTTCCCCCCCTTTTTTTTTTTATAAAATCTTTTTTTTTTTTTTGGTCTATGTCTGCGCATGTCTCACTTTAGTTAGTCTTTTTTTTTTTATCCAGCACACAGATTACTTAAAGAATTTGTTTTTATTTTGTATGTATTATTTGTATTTATGTTCTAGGGAGTGAACATGCCTGATGCTTATGAACGCTTGATCCTTGATGTCTTCATGGGGTCACAAATACATTTCGTCCGATCTGATGAGCTTTATGAAGCGTGGCGCATCTTCACCCCTTTATTGCACCACATTGAATACAACAAACCAAAACCTATTGAATACGTGTATGGCAGGTGAGTTCACTTCATTGGTAGGCCTACCTTTTCATTGTGTTTTTAATCTTGTGTATAGTAAGTAGAGGTGTTTACATTTTATTTGTTACAACTTCATAGTTTTTACATTGTATTATATTTTAATGTAGGTTGTGAGATATTTTTATAAGTTTTCTTTACAACTTTTTAAAAGAATTTGAACAAAGTTAATAATGTTTTTTAAACAACTAGGGACATTTTATTTGACTACCTCTTTTTTTGTGCTAATCGTTGTTCAAAATAAAATAATATTGGCTAAGTTATATTGTCCAAAAGAAAATAATTCAAGTTTTGCAAATTAATTGTCTTTAGAACTATTTTGTTGGAAATGCTGTCAACTTGGCTGTACTTAATCCCTTGGCATTTCCCTATTGCTGTATCTTATCCCTGTTCTTAACCTGTGAATTAAAAAAAAAAATCCTTGAAATGACAAAATTTAAATATCAACTATTAGTCAACTTTAAATTTTCCGGTAATCTCTGTAGTGTCTACTTGAAAAGGTTTTTATTCATTACCTCCAGTTTTCAACATCTTTAGCACTTTTCTTTAAAAAAGAACTTAAACTCATAGTTTGTTTTTTAACTTTTCAAATAGCATTGATGAAAAAGGGTAATTGACTAATTATGTTCTTTCTCTCTTGATTAATTTTGATTTAACAATATTTTTTTTTCTCATAACATTCAAATGGAGTTGTTTCTAAATTTTAGTTTCTGTAACAAAATATTTTCATGTTTTTATTATGCACTATTGGATTTTCTTGTCGTGTAATTATGTTTGGCATGAACCTACCCATCCTTCCCTCACAGCCGCGGCCCAAAGGAGTCGGATGAACTGATGCTTAAAAGCGACTTCAGATATACAGGATCTTACATCTGGAAGTCTACCAGCATGGCCCTGGCCCAGTAGATGCAGTCATTAAGTTTTGGTGAAACAGAGACAGGAACTAACTATAAATTTATTTTGTTTTACGTAGACTACCAACTGCTTTTGCTGCACACAATATTTTGTTCTGAATTTCTTTTTTTTAATTTTGTAATATCTTTTTATTAAAATGTTATATAAAAGTAAAACAAGTCTCCTTTTACATGTTTCATACTGAGACATTTTTTAATTTGAAAAGTATGAAAACTATCACCAAGATATTTTGTAACAGTCAGCATTTAGTATTTATTTTACCTTTTGTTCACCATACTTTTATTGCTTATGTAGACTTATATTCTTTGTTATTTGAATTCTTAACACTCGACATGCATCTTATGGATTCCACCCAATGCAAACCTTACCCCCCCCCCCCCCCCCCCAATTAAAGAAGAAGTTTGTTATATCCAGAAAAACAATGCTAATATATATTCAGCTCTTAGGTACCCCGCTCCGTGGTCTCCAGCTGGCCAGCCAGTCCAATGTTGTCCCAATAAGTCCAGTTTGTGATTTTTCGCATCTCTGATGAGCTCATTCATCAAAAGCTTGTTTCTAGGGGGAGTTGTGTGGGGTTTATTTGATTGAGATGATAATTGAACAGAGGTGTGTGTCCTGTCCTTAGTACTCATTCTATTGTTTCTACCTTTTTTTTTTTTTACTTAAACCTATAAATCAATATTGTTTACATTTTATATCTAAAGAGTCCTGTCTTTTTTACACATATGTATAAAATCTACTTTATGTTTTAACATATTCTTAACTGTTACTTGCAGCCACAACTAAGGCTGTACAATAAGTGACAGATTTAATCAAATAAATATTTTTTTCCCAGTACTTTTGTCTCGGTATTAATCTCTGCAGGAATACTGTTTTTCCTTGTTAAATTTGAGGTTGATTTTTTTCAAAAATTCAAATATGAATACTGATAGTAGCCAGAAGATTGAATTTACATTGAACTAAATTAGGAATAAAATGATGTCATGAGGAGAATGAATGTACATTGAACTAAATTAGGAATAAAATGATGTCATGAGGAGAATGAATGTACATTGAACTAAATTAGGAATAAAAGGATGTCATGAGGAGAATGAATGTACATTGAACTAAATTAGGAATAAAATTATGTCTTGAGGAGATTGAATGTACATTGAACTAAATTAGGAATAAAATGATGTCTGGAGGAGATGGAATGTACATTGAACTAAATTAGGAATAAAATGATGTCTGGAGAAGATTGATAGCACTTTTTAACGTTACTTATTAAAACAGTTGCTATTAGAGTCTAAAAAAATTGTTTTCCAAGAATGTTAAAAGTTAAGCAGTCTGTATGGCCACCAAAACTTTTGCATCAATAATGACTATATATAAAATTTTCCTAAAACAAAAATGTATTTGATACCATACACCATTTGATTCGTATACATTTTTTTTTAACATACAGTATTTCTCAGTATCTCCAGAACTGATTATTTTTATGTCTTTTTATAGTCATAAATGGCTTTAGATTTGCTGCACTAAAAAAATATTGAGACATTGACACTCAGTCTACAACATTTAAGTTAAATTTTGCTATATTATGTTCACACACTTTACAAAAGAAAAAGTAATTTTAGAATATTATTGTTAGTGGAAATTTTAAAAAATGCTTAACTTGGCACTAGAACTGCAGTTTGTTTTTAAGAGAATTGCACCATTTTTTCAACTAAACGGTTTGGATAATTTTTGATAAACCTAACCATTAGCGAACTGTAGTGGTAGAACTAAATGACGTTAACATTTTTGTGTTACATTATATGTCCAAGGAGAATCAAACTGTGTTTATTGTTGCTATATATGATGGTGTTTTGTCTCTCAATTCTAAAGGGCAGATGAAGTAGAATTAAAGAATTTCTGTTTCTGAGAGTTAATGTGATCATCTCTTTACTATCTCAAAAAATAGACGTAGTCATTTCTTTATTCCCATCACTTAAAGTTTTTAGATATTATTTAAAGATGGGTTAGACAAGGCTATTCTCAAAATTCAGAATAAAAATATTTGAGCTACAATGCCACCTCTACACGACCTTGTCTGAAGATGTGTTAAGACACAAGTGTATTATATTAAAAAAAGCTCCTTTTAAGGTTTCATTAATTTATGCCCTTTCTGTCAATCATAATGAGATTGCTTGATTTATGTCACCTGCATTTGTTTTATAATTGTGGCATTTAATATTTGTCTAGAATTGCATTTTAAAAGCAAAGATCTAAACACTACAGATTATATGATCTTATCATGACTGTTTTATAAAAAAACCTTGCACAAATATTTATTACTATTTTTAAGTCTCAATAAATTTAATTGAAAAAATGATATTGTTCTTTTTCTTTATTAATATATTCATTTTACCAACACAAAAATATCCTTCTCAAAATTTATACTTGAAACTGAAACATTATGTTTTATAAAGGGAATACAAACATGTAACAATTACTGTCATTTTGTTTGCTAGATTAAAGAATGAATTTTTGATGTTTTTCTGTTGAGAAATGAAAAGTAAGTTTGAATTGTGTATTTAGCTGTATGCTAATCAACTTGAAAAAAAAAAAAAAAGAATTGATTAATACTGCATGTGATTAAAAAAAAACTACACACAAACAATCATTAGAAGTCAGTAGTATTGAGTTTGAAGGTTTCTTTTACTATTAAATATTTTGTTTCTTAATTATAATAAATTTGGTAAACACATTTCTCTGTTGAAAATCTAATTTTGATACTAGACTGTTGCTGTTAATTAGGTTCAATGCAGTTGCTTCTGCACATTGCTTTCATATTCATTGCATTAACTGTATTTCTCTATTAGAATAAGAACTCCACTAGGTTGGAATTTCTCACTTAGAAAGAAGTTGATGGCAGTCCTCATCCTTTTTTACAGTTTTAATTTTAAAATTTTCAATCCCTTGTAGTGCTGACCCTTTCCACTTAAAAATGTCAAGGTGAAGGTTGGCCACTTCTTACCTTGCCATAGTATAACAGGGTTACATTTTATAAGCTTGTATATTGGTCAGTGAAAGTTTCCCACTCTCTTTCGTTTTTGTTCACTCCCTTCTTTTGGTCTTTGGTTATGATCCTCCTTGAAACATTCATAACTTAAGAAGTCTTTCTCTTTTACAATTTTTATCTATGGTTGAAAGTTGCTTTTATTTTTTAGGGGAATGGTACTTACTCAATATTTGTATAGGTTAGTGAAACTTACAATTTTTAGATGTATATTAAGTAAAAGTAAAAGGTCATGAACATTTTTACTAATACAAAAAAAATGTTTCTTCTATCTTATATGTGGTTTGTTAACAGCGGCTTAAGATATGCCAAAGAAAATTAATTTGACGATGTAAAAGAGGAGGTAGAAATCACTGGGAAAATTGGTTTTAAAAGACTTTTTGTAATGTAATAGATACTGTGTAATTATCTTCTTTTTAAAATACTTTTTTAATCTAAAAGATACAGTGTAATTATCTTCTTTTTGGAAGGAATGTCTGTAAAATCTGAACCCTACTTTTTTTAAGGCTAATTATTCTATTAATGGTCTTTCTATTTCATCTATTATTAGCCGAGGACCAAGAGAAAGTGATGAACTGTGTCGTGAGTTTGATTTCAGCTACACAGGAACTTATAAGTGGCCTTACCAGGAGTCCAAAATGTGATGGGCACTTAGCTAGAGACATTTACTTTGGTGACGCCAGTCAACTTTGAACCAAGCAACCTTAGCAGTCAACTCTTGACTGATTGACAGAGCAGTAAATATTAAGCACAGTAATGGATGATTGAACCAATAATTGAGTTGATGGACAAAGCTTTCAATCACCTTAAATGTGTACAATTTTGTTTTGTATAACCAAGAGATGCAATTATTTTGAAAGGTGTGATTGACCCAGTAAATGTGAAAAATCAGCAATATGTAAAAAGAAAATTATACAAATTTTTTAACATTTGAGCTTAACAAAAAAGTTTCTTTAAATTTTTAAAAATTCTTTTTAAACTCCTTTTTTTTAAAAACTTTTGTTACAAACAAACACAAGACTTTGACAGCCTACCATGAGAATAATTTATTGAAATGTTTATAAGCCAATAATTTTTTTCAAGAATTTATAACAAATTAAAAAGAAAATGTAAATAATTACCTCAGTATAATTTTTTCAATTTATGTTGCCGGTGTATTCATTTCAGTCTATTTATATACTAGTTGTATATTTATTATTGCTACTTTATGAATTGCACTTAGCACATGTAATTCATACATTTTAAAAAATGTCTGCTAATAATTGAAACTGCTAAATATTTCATTGGACAGATACTCAGCATTATTTTTTTTTCTCCATGTATCAATTTTTCTCTACACTTAGCTGTTTTCTTCAGTCAGATTTATGTTAGATTTCGAAGCTTCTGAACAGCAAGGATGGTAGCTGCTAAAATATTACTTCTTTGTAATCTTCCAGAGCATTTTTCTTTAATATTTTTTGCTTTTTTTTCATCTTTTTTACTCCTTGTTTTTGTTTTTCAATCTTACTCTTGAGTACAATGAAGAAATAAATTCTATGCATTAGATCCATTTCAATGAAGTGTATATTTATTTTACCCAACATTATTTAGATTTATGAAGACATCAGAAAAAAAAAAAAAGATTTGTGTAAGCAGATATTTTTGGAATGTCTTGTTTTTGTTGGTATCACTAAAATTCATAATATATATATTTTTTTAAATTTATATTTTGTTTTTGTTCTTGTTGATGAAAATTGATTGAAATGGGGCATCAGTCAGTCCCAGGCTCCTTGTCAGAACAAGTGTAATAAGTACATAATCCATTGCTCAAACCATCTATAATCTATTTGCTTGCTTCTGGGCAAAGAAATTCTGTTTCCATTCATGTTGTAACTGGGGATTCTGTCTATTTGCCTAAAAAGGTGAGCTTTTCATTTCGCCAAAACAGAAACATGCTTGTCTTAGAAAAAATCAAAGTTTGGATTCAATTACCAAGTGATGATGAACCACAAAATGATAACAGAAAATAATAATAATAATTTTATTTATAAAGCGCTGTTAACAAACAATGGGAAAATGAGTCATTGGTTTTTATTTCAGCTAATTCAATGTCTATGAAATTGGTGCAAACTAAATTTTAAAAATGTAATCTATATTGCAGTTTCAAAAAAAAGTTGAAGCCATTTTTCAAAATCTCAATGAAGGAAATAACTTCCAGAGATGTTGTTTCAAAAAAAAATAAAAAAATTCTAGGCCAAAACATTTTATGAAGTCATTGTTTTCTAGTTTTTTTAGTCAACTATCTTACCTAGAGAAATACAAAGATATTGTGGAATCCTAAATTAAAATAAAGAAACAAAAAAACATTAAGACTATTATGCTTTTAGTCTGAACTCAACTTCAACCATCTTTTGTGGTTCGTAATAACCTAGTGGTATTCTATTTTAGTTTTGGGCACTATGATGTAGAGGTAAAAAAAGTGAATGTATTCTTTGGTTTATATAAAAACAGCAGAAAGTATTTCTTGTTTTAATGATTTTCATGTCCAAAAAAGTCCCAGAGATGCTTATAGTTTCTGTTTAGATTCAAATGGTTTTAATTTTGTTGAGTCATACAAGTTTTGTCAATAACTTTAAAAATTGTATTTAATTTTAGACAAAAACCACATTTGATAGAGAATTTGAAATCTGCTTTTGATCTGAACTTTTTCATGGAACTTACAATAACATTGCCTACATCTTAGCAAGCTTTATGTATCAAACTGATCACAATCAATTGTCATTTTGTATTTATTAATTTAATAATTATTTTTTTTTTTTTGATGAATGAAAAGTTTACTTGGTGCTTTTTGATGTTCCATTCATTCATTAATAAGATCAAATGATTTTGTTTTCTGAGCCTCTGTGATTCTAATGCAGCACTTGACATGATACTCCAACTAGTTTTGTTCCTTTAACTTACATTCTTTACACTATGTTCTTTTTGTCATTGGTATTTGACATTTTACGAAACAAAGAATTTTTAATAAAATTTTTTAATAAATCTCTTTTGTTTGTGTTTTTGAAAGACATTTTCTCATCAGTTTATGGTTTAGTAACAAAAATCACAGAATTTGTTTTTATATCTGTTTCCAAAGAACCATGTAAATCCACCAATCTGTTAAAAATTTATTAGACAAGTGATAGATGACTGTCAAGTTCATTAAATATCACAATAGCATTGATTTTATGTGGTGTTTTTTTTTTTTGCTAATTTAATAACAACATAAAACCTTGTTAGATCAGCATAGACAATGTATCCTCCTGGAGTTTTCAGAAAAACATAGAAGTTTAGAATTACCTCTCCCCCCCTCCCTTTTTTCGTCGGACCAAAATGTAGAAAATCGAAAAAAAGAATCTTTCAAAATATGTTAGGGCTTTCACTCTTTCTTCCATGGATTTGATTCTTTGCTTTTCTTATATTCCTTTTACTTTTTTTTATTCTTGTAAGAAAAAAACACTTTTTGTTTTAATTTTTAGGGGACAAGAATCTTGTTATTTTTAATTCTTTGAAATGTCCGCTGCTATCTTGAGCTAGCCTTGTGCATGACATCTTGTGTCTGCAACCCAGGGCATCAGTTTTGCACCATTTTGGATCGTCTTTTCATTGAAGAGGCCAGCGACATGAGAGTCAGAAAATTTAAACAGCCTGTGGGCTAGGTTGGGCATCACTGATATAAGACATCATAACATAAGACGATAAAACAAGTTAATAGACAAAGAAGTCTATGTTTCTTTTTTTTATTGTGCCAATAATTTGTAGTCCCTAATTGAACAATATCAAGTACATCAGTGAACTCACACATACTCACACATTATCATACAAACATATCCAGACACTTCTATGTGTACACATAGCACAGCCTTTGAGTGACAAGGACTATGTACAAAGTACTTCTATAAATAAGTCATTTCAACCAACAGAATAATAAAATACACATTTCTGGATTTTGTACATATAGTAGGCCTATATGGGGGGATAGTACGGGTTAGCAGTAGACAAGAGTAGACACAATGCCACATAAACATCTAGCTACATTATAGAACAGCTGTAACTAGTGGAGTGGCCCTGTCTTTATTGGGATGACTATGAGAAGTAGAAAGGAAGTTCACAATATAACATCAGCAAGCCAATGTAAGGGAAATGGAGACAAACTAGACACAACACCAGTTAAGTTGGAACATTATTGCTCATAAGCAAAAGGTCAGCATCGTGGTACAAGTGAATATGGTTCTGTTCTTACTATTTAATGCTACAACAAGGCTTAGGAAGATACAAACTACACACTGTCT